TCTCTCTCTCTCTCTCTCTCTCTCTCTCTCTCTCTCTCTCTCTCTCTCTCTCTCTCTCTCTCTCTCTCTCTCTCTCTCTTGTTCTGGGGCTTTGAAGTATACGTATCCGGCGGCCTGTGCAGCGAGACCCAATGTGGAAATTGTTGCACAGTCCTCGGCACGGTGGGTGCTGAAAGGTTTAAGCAAGCAGCACGCTGCATCCGATCGCGACACAGAAATGTGGGTCGGTCGTCACGAGATCGCGGAATTATTAAGCGACGTCACCAAAGTGAATCACGGAGAAACGTCGAAAGTACCGATCGCGAGAGCTTCACGGGCGGGACGTGTTCACGTATCGCGCTTACTTGCCATGTGCCGCAGCAGGAAATGCCGAATGGTGTGACCCGTGATGCTTCTTCGCGATCGGTCGCCTCGCACAGCGCAAAAGTACATTATTCCAGGGTAAAGTTTTGTAAAATCGTCTGGTACGCAATATTTTATGTAAAAAAGTAAACACAGACATACACACACACACACCCACACAATGCAAACAAATAAACACAGACACACGCGCAAGCACACAGCTTTAACGAGATATACTCGACAAGTGGACGACAAGTAGACATGCTATCATGCGGAACCGATGGACATTTAAGTAAAAAAGGGAAAGAGGGAAAGAAAGAAAAACAGAGAGAATGTGAGAGAGAGAAAGAGAGTTAGGAAGCGAGAGAATGAGTGTGTGAATGAGGAGAGAGAGAGAGAGAGAAAGAGAGAAGATATGCTCTCGTGATGCTTGGAGGTATCAAAGTGCGAGAGCGAAAGACGAAATAAAACACCTGCTGTAGGCCGGCGGTACGTACATACATATATATACATATAGGGATATGTATATATATACATAACATACTTGCATACAATATACAATTACCGTAAGTGTATAAGAAATACTTTATATAGCTGTATTTTACGTCGTCACTACGTATACAGGCTTGCGAACGTTGACAGGTGATTTGTCTCGACTGGCGTGTTAAGGAAATGCTTTTAGCATAGGGATCGCGTGGACGAGAAAGAAAGAACGTGTGTGAAAGAAAGTGTGTGTACGTGTAGGAGAAAGAGAGTGCATGAGAACAGAAAATTTATATCTCGCGGTCGACGTTACATATCTTTGACTCGTTTGTTTTTTAAGCGTCACACCGTTTAACGCGTTGTGAGAGTATTGACGTCAGCGAGTTACATGTTACGAGAACGAAACGTTAACTCGTAGTGTTGTTGCACGCCGAACAACCCACGGATAATTCGTACAAGCGCGTTGAGCGTCAAGTCTGTGTTGAATCACGATTTCTCACGACTCGAGAGCTACACTTGACGCTGAACGCGAGTGGACTCAGCGGGAAAGCACACAGGCAATCGTCGCTCAACGTCAGTCTACATATCAGAATTTAGGTTGCGTTCGGAAATGTCACCCAAGTGTACCTGTTACGTTGGAGTGAGCGAGATATGAGAGTAAGATAAAAAGAAAGGAAGACTACTCGAGTGACGTTTCCGAACGCAGCCTTAGTCAGCACCGCGCAGGACCTCCCCCCCCCCCCCCCCCCCGCCCCCCCC